CTCTCGCCTGGTCTGCCGGGCGCTGTGTGTCGTCCGTGGTCCCCGCATGCGGGACACTCTACGTAAATGTTCGAAGCGGCAGAGGTGGTCTGTGGTGGTCACGTTTGTAATGGACTGTGGGCTTCGCCAGCCAGTGCAGCTCTGAGCATGTGGTTAGCACTTTCTTTCCTCCTCTGGAAGGCAGCGGAGGTGGCCGCGAGGAGGGAGGAGGGATAGAGTCCACTGGCGGAGGCTGGACAGCAGAGAGGAGGGATAGAGTCCATGGGCACAGGCTGGACGGCAGGGAGGAGGGATAGAGTCCACTGGCAGAGGCTGGGCAGCAGGGAAGAGGGAGGAGGGATAGAGTCCGCGGGCAGAGGCCGGGCAGCGGGCGTCCCTGCAGAGTCTGACGTGCGTGAGGCTGCCAGAAGCAGCCGTGGTTGGGCAGAGTCGGTCAGGATGGTGCGAGTGGAGGTGTTCACAGACGCAGGGCAGGTTGGGCGACACCAGCAGCCACACGTGGCCCAGGGGAGGCCGGCAGGGCGGTGAAGTCCTGGCTCAATTCCTTGCTCAGAGCACGTGGGGAATTGCAGAGGCAGGCGGTGGCGTGAGCCCTGTGGGAGGGCAGCAGCTCTCCCTGGAGAGAGAGGAGCAGGCGGGCGGGCGGAGGAGGTGGGAAAGCCCTGCATTCCTCCTGGGGCCTTGGCAGGAGCTCTGCCCACCCACCTGCCTCAGGACGGGCGAGGCCAGAGGTGTGGACAGGGTGGTGAGGCATCAGGACCTGCCCGGTGGCGGGTGGCGGGGGGTGGGGGGGAGAGCAGACTTGTCAGGAGTGAAAGCCTGACGGGCTGGGGAAGCGTTGGGGGTGGCGGGGAGCTGGGAGCAGACAGACAGTGTGAGCCAAGGCTGACGGAGGAGACAGGCTGTGAGGACTGGAGCCGGGACAGGACCTGGAGGGAGCTGGTCAGAGCGGGCACTTGGCAGCGGTCAGCATCTGAGGGGCAGAAGTGAGAGGACCGTGATTCTGAGTTTACAAGGACTGGAAAGAGAGAGCTGTGGAGGAAGGACAGACAGGAGAAGGCCCTGCATACTTAGAATTGGAGTCTTCAAGGAAGCAGACAGAGCACGGACTGAGCACAGGTCCAGGGGTCAGATGCCAGCAGGCCTGCCGGGGGCTCAGGCTTGAGTCTGCACGTGGAGGGCGTGCGGGGCGACCGCACAGTCGGCGTCACATCCTGGGGTGGCGTGACGGGCGCCTCTCACCGAGGACCCTGAGGGGCACACGTCCGTCTTGTGCGTGTCGTCACTGTGGTGTATGTTTCCATGTGAGGAGATTGATGCTCAGCTTTTTCCCTCTTTCTTTTAAGCTATTGCAGCTAATTGCAAAATCCCAGTTAACCTCACTGAGTGGTGTGGCACAAAAGAATTACTTCAACATTTTGGATAAAATCGTTCACAAGGGTAAGAGGATGACTGACCTTTTCCATCATCTGAATCTTAATGAGCTTTAGTGTGAGGAGAGGGGTTTTCTCTGACCCCCACCCTGTGTGTGTGTCCAACGGTGACGTCCGGTGCGTGGCCGTGGCTGCACAGCTGTGCCAGGGCCTCCGGCTCTCACATCCACGTGCTGTTTATGTTTTAAAAGTTGTGTTTGCATAGGAAGGAGTATATTACATTAATACAAGAAATATATCACTGTGCTGTCATAAGATAGAAAGATAAGTGAAAGGACATTTCACCTCTTCGTGGCTAGCCGTTCACACTTCACTTTACCACAGAATGTTTCCATAACCATCAGGGTTGGGCCTAGTTGTTTCAGCATCAAATAAACCTACACATTTCTTTTTAATTTAGTGAATGTATTGATTGATTAGTGGCAAATAGGTAGAACAATAGGGTTTATGCATGTATAGGGTGTCCCCAAAAATGTATACATACTCTAACAGCTGATCGCTCCATTTTGAAAATGCAGTGTATTTGAGTAAGCACTGCCCTTGTATTTTCATAGTGTGTGTGCATTTTGGGGGACACCCTATATCTGAGTGAATGGCTGAGTGCAGCCATTTTTAAACACCATTTCTCGTTATGGCAGAATGTAAAGAACATGGAGGCTGACAGTTTAAAGTCAAAAAGTAGACTCGACCAGAAATGCTTGGTCAGGAAACATTTTAAAGTCTGTTTAAGTCTCGCCATATCTGCGGTATCTCAGAAGCCAGGTGGGGTCACAGTGGAATGAGGTCATTGTTCATTGTGACAGAACGTAGAAAATGTACAATTAACTAACAGTTTCACTTAAGCTGACAGTTTGGTACCATTAGGTCCTTTCGCTCTGTTGTGCCACCATCACCACCACCATCTTCCCCAGAACATTCTCATCTTCCCAACTGAGCCTCTGTCCCCATAGACCAGTGATGGCGAACCTATGACACGTGTGTCAGAGGTTCGCCATCACTGCCCCAGACACTCACTCCCACCGTCCCTACCCATTCCACCGTCCACTCCTGTCTCAGGCTCCGACTCCTCCGCCCACAGACAGGGAGCCCATAGCCGCTGTCTGTCCGGCTTGTCTCCCTGAGCAGGTGGCAGCGTGTGGCGGGAGTGGAGTCTCTTCCTTTCCGAGGCTGAGTGCAGTCGGCTGTGTGCGTGCACCCCATTTCATCTGTAGGTTACATCGGGGTGCAGCTCGGCCCTCTCCCAGGTGGCAGCTGTCCACGCACAGTCGTGCTGTTTTTGTTCCAGTGCTCGACGACCACCAGAACCCTCGGCTGATCAAAGACCTGCTCCGAGACCTGAGCTCCACCCTCTGCATCCTGATCCGAGGCGTGGGCAAGTCCGTGCTGGTGGGGAACATCAACATCTGGGTCTGCCGCTTGGAGACGGTTCTCGCCTGGCAGCAGCAGCTGCAGAACCTGCAGATGACGCAGGTACGACTTTAGCACCAAGTCGTGACCTCTTCTCCAGACTCCGGCTTGGAGAACGATGCTCGTCTTACTCTTTCGTGTTAATGAAGTTGTTTTTAGACGGGTGAGACCAAAGAGCCCATTAGTGGGCTCCAGCTGCTACTGGAAAGGGCTGACTCCGCAGGTGGCGAGGTGGTAAACTCGCTCACCTTGAAAGGAAATTAGGTGCTTTGGGCTCAAATGACATCAGGAAATCACGGCTCCGTGTGTGCGCAATCTGCCCTTCCCTGCCCTGTGGCTTGTGCAGGGCCTGTACTCCCCTCACTTGCTCGCTCTGTGTGGACGCGGATGCACAGGTGTGTGGAGGCAGATGTACACGTGCGGCTTGTAAGCAAGATGGCCCACGTGACACATGCCATCACATCCAAACTGTCGCCAGTGTCCAAGGCCCATGGTGCCTGCACCTTGAGGCACTGGATGAGGCGGAAATGTGGCCTCGCTTTCCTGTGGTTGTGTCTGATGAGCTGAGGAAGGGTTTGCACAGCAAGGACGGTGACAGCGCTCTGAGGGGACAGTGAGGGCGCCCTGTGCCCTCCACACCTCTCCCCGCACCTGCCCTCCTGGGATCAAGGGCGTTAATTCCTCCACACATGTCTCTAGTCTCGGGCACTGGGTCATGGAAGAGAAGAGGCAGCACACAGGACCAGCTGTGCTGGGGCTGAGCTCTGACCGCCGGGGACACTTCTGCCTCTGCGGCGGGGGCAGAGCTGGGTGGAGCCCAGCAGACCCCTGCCGTCTGTCCGTGGGAGACTCCTGTGGACAATGAGGGCCTGCACGGCTCAGCCCCTGGCACCGGCCTCCCACAGCACCACGTGGTGCCAGCCCTCAGGGACAGTTCGGTTCCCTCGCCGGCTTGTGTGAGGGAGGGTGTGGCTTCTGTACTTGAAATCACAGAGCTGTGAGCTAGAAGGGCCTCCGTGGAGGATTCATCCACGCCCCTGGCCACTGAGCTGCCCAGGCCAACCGCAGAGGCTTGGAGCGCAGTGCACACTCCGTGGCCTGACACGTCCCCAGCACCTGCCCCTTCCAGGTGCCCCTTTGTGTGTCGTCTAGTAAACAGGTCCCCTCGTGCAGATGCAGTGGAGGGGCTGTCACCATAAGCAGCCTGGGCCATTCCGGCTCCACTTCCCGGCGTCCCTGGTGGCCAGCAGAGGAGGCATGGGGTCAGGGACGCTGGCATCACGCCCCGGGCAGGTGGGGGAGGGGAACGTTAGGTCGGTCCGTGGCCTGAAGGCGCGTGTCCTGCTCCCTTTCTCGCAGGAGAACCACGGCCTCACGCTCAGTGACCTGCCCTTGCACATGCTGAACAACATCCTGTACCGGCTCTCCGACGGCTGGGACATCGTGACGCTGGGCCAGGTGAGCCCCACGCTGCGCACGCTCAGCGAGGACCGGCGGCTCTGGAAGAAGCTGTGTCAGTACCACTTCGCCGAGAAGCAGGTGAGCGGCGGCCCCACCCGGCCCCGGCACAGCCTGCGGCCTCGGCATCGTCCAGCGTAGGAAGGTCGTGTGTGGCCTCTCTCCGACAGCTTATGCAGTTTCCTGTTCATCTTTCAAAAGGACCGTGAACTCATATGACCCAACACGGAGCACAGAACAGGGCGGCGTTCCCCGCTCTGTTGACAGACCGTGTCGCCATCTCCCCTGTGGGCTCAGGCTGCGTGTCCGCTACGGCCGGGGCCCCGCCAGCCTTGGTTTCCTGGGCGGTGGGCGGCCTGCCGCTGTCCACGTCCTCCCTGCCTCCCTGCGTTATGCTCCGTGCTGGGTGCGGTCAGGGCTGTGCCTGTGCGTGAGGCCGCCTGGGTCTGCGGGCGGGGAGGCGGGCGGCCCGTGTCCGCAGAGACGGGTGTGGCGGAGCTGGTGACGGACGCGGGAAGTGGGGAAGTGGGTGTGCTGTGAGCACGTCCACGCTGCAGGCGACGGGAGAGGCCCCTGGAGGAAATGCAGGTCACGGGCTGTGGCAGTTGTGGGCGTGGTCCGCGTGGCAGGGCCCTACGCAAGGAGGCGCGTCGTGAGCCCCGCGGACCCTCCTCTGCCTGGCGGCGTTTGGAACAAGGGCAGCTCTCGTATGAAGAGCAGACGAGTGGCACAGGGAGCCGATGACAGGCGGCGCCAAGAAGGAAGGGTGTGGACATGGACCAACCCAGGGACTTGAGGCCCATTGGCTGGGGTGGGCGCAGCCATGTCCCGTGGTCCCTGGGGGTTGGGAGTCACAGGTGGAGGCGGTGGGTTGAGATGCCTCCCAGGTGCCCGAGTGCAGCCCGTCGAGAGGCCCGGGTATCTGAAGGACTCGAGAGGAGGCGGCGGGCCTCGGGCAGCGGCTAACAGGGCTCCTGAGGGCCTGAGAGGAGGGGCAAAGGCTACCAGAGGTCACCTGGGACCCAGAGGATGCCTGCTAGACTGAGTCCTGTGGTGGTGGGCGACCCCAGGAAAACAACTGGGGGGTCTTGGGGAGAAGCACAGGGTCAGGGTGACTTGAAGGGAAGAGCGAGATTGCATTGTGGAGTCGGCACAGCTGTGGGGACAGCGTGTTTGAGGGAGAGCTCGTGCCTAGGGAACGAGCGGGTGATGTGCGTCTGGGTGGCGGCCCGGAGCTCCTGGGGGCCACTCCCCAGGTGCCCTGGCTGCTCCCCAGCTCGAGGGTCAAGTGTATGGCGGGCATCTCGGGAACATGGTTGGCCATTTGTGAGGTCCTTGCATGCATTCCTTAAAGGGCTACTGTATTTTTCTTAATATATTTTCATCGATCTCAGAGAGGAAGGGAGAGGGAGAGAGAGAAACATCAATGATGAGAGAGAATCATTGATTGGCTGCCTTCTGGGGGCGAGCCCACAACCCGGGCATGTGCCCTTGACCAGAATCAAACCTGGGACCCTTCAGTCTGCAGGCCGATGCTCTATCCACTGAACCACACCAGCTCAGACCTAAAGGGGCCCTGTAGAGGCTCTGTCATCCACACAGTTTCATGTCAGGTGTCAGAATTGGCACCACAGGTGCATCTTGTCTGCATGCTGTGCCAACCAGATGGAAAGCCCAGGTGCCGCCTGGCAGCGACTCCCACCCCCAGTGGGTGTGACGGTGTCTCCTTCCGACTCAGGGCAGGTGCTGGGCCTCTTGGCCGTTTGTACATCTTCGCAGAAATGTCTTTTCAGGGCCTGTGCTCATGTCCGGCAGATGATGTGTGTAACTGCCTGCCTCTCTGATTTGACTTGTCAAGTGCAGTGACGTACAGCGTTATATCAGTGTCAGGTGTGCAGCGTCATGGTTGGACTTACTGGTAGTTGAACTGCTTACGGGCATCAGGCCCGATCTGAATAGTGAGATCTGCGTCAGGCTGTGTGGGGTCCCAGAGTAGGGACACGCGCTTCCTTTGATGAGTCCCTTGGATTTAACCCGGGTAGTTTAAGGCCAGTGATTCCGTGTTGCCCGCGCCACCTGCCGCTTTAACAGTTCTGCACCTCGTCCCGCTCTGCTCACCGCGGCTGACTGAGCCGAGCGTGTGCGTCTAGTTCTGCAGACACCTGATCCTCTCGGAGAAGGGCCACGTGGAGTGGAAGCGGATGTACTTTGCGCTGCGGAAGTGCTACCCGACGCGGGAGCAGTATGGGGACACGCTGCTCTTCTGCCGGCACTGCAGCACCCTCTTCTGGAAGGTGAGCTGCGGGCGCGGGCGGCGGGCGGGCAGGGACAGCTTGCCATCTGCACGGAGCACAGAGGGGAGCAAACAGGCAGCTGTGGCGGAAGCGTGCAGGGCTGTCTGTCCCAGATGCCGGGCAGGCAGGTTCATGAACAGAGTGCCCTGGGGTTCGGATCCGAGCGACGAGGAGCCGACCATTGGCCTCTGCCTGTCCCTGGATGGCGGTCCTCCCTGTGGTGACTTGGGTGGGGCACATCCCGGCCCACCCCACCCCGCCCAGCCCATGTGCCTCCCGCTTCTCTTCTCAGAGCTCCACACACAAGTAAACGTGCATTTTCTCACTGTTTGGTCAGAACCTAACAGACTGGTTGCTTATCAAGTCTAGCCCTTCAGTGAGGAATCTGTACCTGGACACTCACCGTCCATCCAGAGCCCGCAGGGCCCTTAGCCAAGACCCCTCCTGTCTGCTCCCCCCAGACGTCTGATGGGCCCCCTCCTGTCTGCCCTCCCAGACGTCTGATGGGCCCTTCCTGTCTGCTCCCCCCCAGACGTCTGATGGGCCCCTTC